CCCGGCCCCCCGCCCCCCCAACCGGGGCACACGCGTGTGTAAGAGGGGCTGGGGGTGTGGGGGTGCGCGTGACCCGGCCGCGCGTGCTCGCCCCGGGTGAGTGTGCAAGGGGGGAGCTCGGCGAGTGTGCAAGGCCCAGAGGGGGTTGAACACGCGGGCGTGAAGGGGGCAATCCCCCCATTCCTTCCCAGTCCCCCCAGTTTGGCACCTCCATCCCCCCATTCTCTCCCAGTCCCCCCAGTCCGAGGGCTCCACCCCCTCATTCCTCCGTCCCAGTTCCCCCAGTTCGCGACCTCTATCCCCCCATTCCCTCCCACTCCACCCTCCCAGTCCCCCCAGTTTGGCGCTTCCATCCCCCCCCTCCCCATCCCAGTCCCCCCAGTCTGAGGTCTCCATCTCCTCATTCCTCCCCCCACTCCCATCCCAGTCCCCCCAGTCCTCACCCCCCCTGTCCCCCCACAGCCGCCGCCGATGGCTCAGGACAACGCCGCCTTCTGCGGGGTCCCCGAGGGGGTCCCCACGGGGGTCCCCGCTGAGGCCAAGCCCCCTCCCCCGCCGCCCCAAGCCCCCAAACGCCGCCCGTGGGGGGCCGGGGGGGGCGCGGTGGCCCGGAAGCGCCAGCGCTACGTGGAGAAGGACGGCAAGTGCAACGTGCAGCACGGCAACGTGCGCGAGACCTACCGCTACCTGACCGACATCTTCACCACCCTGGTGGACCTCAAGTGGCGCTTCAGCCTCCTCATCTTCATCCTGGCCTACGCCCTCACCTGGCTCTTCTTCGGCCTCATCTGGTGGGTCATCGCCTACAGCCGCGGCGACCTGGAGCACCTGGGCGACCACACCTGGACGCCGTGCGTCAACAACCTCAACGGCTTCGTGTCCGCCTTCCTGTTCTCCATCGAGACCGAGACCACCATCGGCTACGGCCACCGCGTCATCACGGACACGTGCCCCGAGGGCATCGTGCTGCTGCTGCTGCAGGCCATCCTGGGCTCCATGGTCAACGCCTTCATGGTGGGCTGCATGTTCGTCAAGATCTCGCAGCCCAACAAGCGCGCCGAGACCTTGGTGTTCTCCTCGCACGCCGTGGTGTCGCTGCGCGACGACCGCCTGTGCCTGATGTTCCGCGTGGGCGACCTGCGCGACTCGCACATCGTGGAGGCCTCCATCCGCGCCAAGCTCATCCAGTCCAAGCAGACGCAGGAGGGGGAGTTCATCCCGCTCGACCAGACCGACCTGAGCGTGGGCTTCGAGACCGGCGACGACCGGCTCTTCCTGGTGTCGCCGCTCATCATCAGCCACGAGATCGACGAGCGCAGCCCCTTCTGGGACGTGTCGCGGGGGCAGCTGGAGAGGGACGACTTCGAGATCGTCGTCATCCTCGAGGGCATGGTGGAGGCTACAGGTAAATGGGGTGGGGACGCCTCGGTGCTGTGGGGACACCTTGGTGGCACGAGGATGCCTTGGTGGCGTGGGGACGCCTTGGTGGTGTGGGGACACCTTGGTGTCACGAGGACGCCTTGGTGGCATGGGGACACCTTGGTGTCACGAGGACGCCTTGGTGGTGTGGGGACACCTCGGTGGCATGGGGACGCTTTGGTGGTGTGGGGACAGCTTGGTGGCATGGGGACGCTTTGGTGGCACGGGGACACTTTGGTGGCACGGGGATGCCTTGGTGGTGTGGGGACACCTTGGTGTCACGAGGACGCCTTGGCGGCATGGGGATGCCTTGGTGGCATGGGGACACCTTGGTGGTGTGGGGACACTTTGGTGGCATGGGGACTCTTGGTGGCACGGGGATGCCTTGGTGGTGTGGGGACACTTTGGTGGCATGGGGATGCCTTGGTGGTATGGGGACAGCTTGGTGGCATGGGGACGCCTTGGTGGTGTGGGGACACCTCGGTGGCACAGAGATGCCTTGATGGCACAGGGACGCTTTGGAGGCACAGGGATGCTTTGGTGGCATGGGGACACCTTGGTGGTGTGGGGACACCTCGGTGGCACGGGAATGCCTCGATGGCACAGGGACACTTTGGTGGCATGGGGATGCCTCGGTGGTGCAAGGACACGGTGTCTTTGTGTGGATACATCCACGGGGATGTCATCTCCAAGGGACACATCGTCCTTGTGGGGACGTATTGTCTTCGTGGGACGCATCTGTGGGACACATCCATGAGGACACATCATTTCCATGGGGACATCTCATCTTGATGGGGACACGTCCATGGGGACACATCATCTCTGTGGGACACATCCATGGGGACACATCATTTCCACGGGGACATCTCATCTTGATGGGGACACATCCATGGGGACACATCATCTCTGTGGGACACATCCATGGGAACACGTCCATGAGGACACATCATCTCTGTGGGACACATCCATGGGGACACGTCCATGAGGACACATCGTCTGCCTGGGGACGCCTCATCTTTGTGGGGACATCTCACCTCTGTGAGGACATCACCTCCATGGGGACATCTTGTCTCCATAGGGACACCTCCATGAGGACACATCATCTTCTTGGTGACATCTCATCTCCATGGGGACATCATCTTCTTGGGACCCATCACCTCCATGGGGACAGACAACATCCATGGGGACACTTGGTCTCTGTGGGGACATCTCATCTCCATGGTGATCCATCATGTCTGTGGTGACACCTCCATGGGGACACCTCATCTCCATGGGGACATCTCTGCTGGGGATTTCACAGCCCCCTCTACCAGATTTGGGGTCCCCAAAAATGGGGGCACATCACAGACCTCCCCAGGTGGGTTTGGGGTGTCCCATGTCCTGGGGCTTCAGGTATTGGGGTGCCCCAAACCTTGGGGGTTTCACAGACCCCTCCTACCAGATTTGGGGTTTCCCGTGTCCTGGATTCCTCAGGTATTGGGGTCACCATGCCCTAAGTGATTCAGGTATTGGGGTCACCATGCCCTAAGTGATTCAGGTGTTGGGGTCCCCGTGCCCTGAGTGACTCAGGTATTGGGGTCCCCATGACTCAGATATTGGGGTGCCCCTCACCCCTCCCATTTTGGGAGCCCCCCTGACCCCCGTGCCCCCCAGGGATGACGTGCCAGGTGCTCAGCTCATACCTAGCGGACGAGGTGCT